CGCGCAGCATTGTGGGTGGGGGAAAATTTGGAATTGAAATCCACCCATCTTAAAGTGGGCAAGTTGGAGAAACACTGCTCTAGGTCCTCTCAGGATTTTATCTACATCTGAAGGTAAACTGAAAACAAACTTGGTGACAGAAAAACTTGCAGAAAAGAAACACAGAGAAGCCACAGATATTTTGACACAGCTAATGAAATTTCTGACAGGGTGTTTTTGGCATCCTTAATTAGTACCAAAACAGTTCAGTTCAGAAATCAATATAATAAACATCCTTGACTCAGAAGCCCTATGCAGAATAGGTCTGCCTTAATATTGTCATTAAAGCGTAGAGATGAAACCCATGTTTATGCAAACAGTAGCTAATTGTATCTGGATTTATTTACAGGAGAGTCTTTTCCTCTCAATTTCCACAGAGGAAAACGATGAGTTGGAATGTGCATTTAACCCAATAAACACATGAGCTGGAATGATAATTTTGTTTCCGTCCTTTGTATTATCTTTACAAATGTGTGGCGTTCTAATGAATACAGTATTAATGAAGGCGTTACCAAGCAAGCAAAAGAGGGCAGGATCTAATTTATATGTATACATGCAAATTTAGAAATAGTTTATATGATTTCAATAGAATTTCAAAACCACTCAGATAACAAGTGGGTGATTATGGCCGGATGTGTCATATCTGCTCAGTTGACTGTCTAAATGGATAACTTCAGCCTCATAATTTATTATCTTTAAACTGGATTTGGCAAATTGTCCGCTGCCTCCATATATGGGATCCCTCGATATAGAGAGATGTTCCCTATAGAGACACATACATGGCAACCTTGCATGTTTCTGACAGGGATCAACACAGCTTCCGCTGTTGTACTGAAAAGTACTGCTGGATGCCAAATAGCAAGACCGTTCTACATTTATACCCACAGGGGAAAGCTGGAGGAAGTGTCTTTAGAAAGCTTATGGCAGTATGTTGTTGCAATGGGCAGCAAGAAATGGGGAATATCCTGGGCAGTGAAGTTTATCTAAGTGAGGCAAAGAATCTCCACAGAGAAGGCAGTAATAAACTATGCAGGACATGTTCGATGTAGGGGGCAAGGTAAGAGAAAAGGCCCCCGTGAATAGAATACTTGAAGTCAATGTTTCTCAAGCTGGGAAACTTTGAGATGTGTGGACTTCAGCTCCTAGAATTCTTAGCAATGGTTATGCCAGCTGGGCTATTCTGGGAGTTGAAGTCCACACATCTGGAAGTTGCCCAGATTGGGAAACACTGCTTTAGTATCCTGACAGACGATCACCACCAATCTAATCTCATGCCTTTTCTGCCTTCGACAGATTTATTATACTGGCTGCTCCATAAATCCAGCAAGATCCTTTGCCCCTGCTGTCATACTGGGAACATTCAGTCAGTGTCACTGGGTAAGATTCTGCTTTTGGACTCCTTCAGCCCAGATCTTCATTTGTCAGCCTAGATTACATAAACTTCCTTCATACCAGAATCCATCCACTGATAAGCCGCCTTCTAGCCCCATCCATTAGATGCTTTATTGGTCAAGAGTCTTAACCCTGGTTTCGATTTGAAGATTTTGAAAACAGTGGCAAGATTTAGAGCCCTAGTCAGTAATGAAGTCAAAGCAGGGGAAAGCCTTGGAGGGCCTAGAGCTGTTGAGAGTTGGGCAGTATACAGGTTTAATAGTTATTTCCCAGTCTAAGGCTACAACTGTTTTATTTCAAGCTCTCAAGTTCTCTGGGCCTGAACAAAAAGGATTTCACCACTTGAAAAACAGATTCTGACCACTTGCTAGCACCAAAGGTTTATAAGGGACCTAATCGATTTGGGAGAAACACTCAAGCCCTGGATAATCTAGAATTTGCTCTGAAATTGATTCATAGGAATGGGGAACTATCACCAAAAATGAGTAAATATATGACTGGTACAGAGGACAAACAAGACACCAATATGCATAGTATTCTTAAGTTAATATTTAGAAATAGTTGTTGTTATTTCAATAGATATACCAGTGTTTCTCAACCTTGCCAACTCTAAGATGTGTGGACTTAAACTCCCAGAATTCCCCAGCTGCCATAACCATTGCTAAGAATTCTAGAAGCTGAAGTCCACACATCTCAAAGTCCACACGTCTTAGAGTTGCTAAGGTTGAGAAACACTGAGATATACTATGCACCCACTATGGTGGGGAAAACTGTCCAAGTCACCCATGTGCCTACTCTGTTATCCTGGTGCTCTCTGGAGGTGGGCAGTTTCATTCTGCTTTGCCTTCTTACAGTTCTTTGGTTTTAGACAGGCCTTCAAACAGACGATGCTGATCCTCAATAGCCCTTATGAGCTACTGTAATGCCATTTCTCCCTTTGCTCCAAGAATAACTCACAACTAATCATGAGAACCAATTTGGTGTAGTGATTAAGCAATCAGATTAGAAGCCAGGAGACTGTGAGTTATAATCCTGCCTTAAACACAAAGCCAACTAGGTGACTTTGGGCTAGTCATTCTCTCTCAGCCCTAGGAAGGAGGCAAGGGCAAACCACTTCTGAAAACTTGCTAAGAAAACTGCAGGGACTTGTCCATGCAGTGGCCAAGAGTCAAGACTGACTTGAAGGCATACAAAAAATCAAACCCCCGTGCTACACAGTGACTCTTTATTCTATTTCCACTATCTAAATTTTGCTCCAATGTTGTCAGCACTTTTAGTGTACTATATATACTTCAAGTTTTAAATGGTTGTTTCAGAGAAGCAAATATATCACTGCTTAGGAAAACAGCCAAGAAGCACGGGCTAAGCAGAGCAAATGAAATAAAATATGAAGACCAGAGGGAGAACTGCAGAACATACTTTGTCTTCAGAACATACTTGGCCATGAAGCATGTGGAAAGGAGACAGAACCATGGCAGCTAGGTGGAAATTGCTGGTTCTTCTCAGGTGTCAAAATATCTGGGTTAGACCTGCTTCTTGGTGGTTTGCCTAGCAACAGAATGTCTAACCCAAGGTATGCAATGGATCCCTGGCCTGATGAAGCAACATTTTTGTATTCTTAAAAGCTGCTTTTCATTTGCTTCTTTCTGCAGGTCTTCTGGATGGGACCTACCGTAGGCGCTCTCTTGGCTGCTGTAGTTTACAACTATATTCTACTCCCCCAGAGACTGAGCAGGGAGGAGAGACTGGCTATTTTTAAAGGTTACTGTGTTCCTGAAGGAGATCTGCAATACCCACCAAGAAATAGGAATGAAACACAGTGGGAAAGTAAGTGTACTGAGTGATCATATCAAATTGGTGTGAATGGCATCACCACCCACCACCCATTCTTACTAAAATGATGCAGAACACCGAGAAATAATGTCCTACCATTGCAAGGAAAAGAGTAAATTCAGATGCCCCAAATTAAATTCTAACCTAATGCTGCACCCACTTAGTTCACAGGCAGCCATGGGATTTAACCCCATGTTTAAATCCTGTTTGCCACCCAGCAGATTAATAATAGGATCTGCCATGACTGCCAAATATTCATAAATTTCCTTGGCCTGCCAACCAAGATTTGTTATGATTTCCCCCATCCAGGGAGAGATCCTACTCAGTGTTTCCAATCTATGGGACCTGCAGCTACCTGCCTTCCCTATCTAAATTTGCCAGCTGTCTCTAGAGGTCACTGCCCACATTGACTGCAGCATCAAACACTGGGGGAAGAACTACATAGCTGCTCTCAGAAGACCATAAGCTAGCCAGCCAAATGAGTTTATGACTGTCCATGTAGGCAGACGCTAGCTACCCTAATGGAATGAACAAACATATAGGCAGCATATAGAAATCAAGCCTTCTATTTATGCCAGCCCCAGGGTTTAAAACCTAGGCCTTTTCCTCCCATTATTTTGACTCTATGGACTTTGGGACATTCTTTTCCCTTCCTTGAGAGTCAAAGACATCTGTTCAATGTTTATGGTTATGTCTGGCTTGGTTCCTACCTTGTCAGCTCAAGCACTGATAGGCATTCCTCTCAGGTACTTTTGAAAAACAGTACTGTGTCTGTAATTGTGCATCCTAGGACCCCTTAAATTGTTCTGTTGTCCTAAGGTGTCCCATCTTCAGTATTGAAGTAAGGCCCAGCTATAGTCCAACTGGCTTCTCAGGGTGGGAACATCTATCCACCTCAGACAGCAAAACATTAGTTCAGCCCTACCTTCTACTTTGACTCATTTCCTCATTCTGAGTTTCTTCTGCCCAAGTTGCAGCAATGGGGATAACAGCTGGTGGTTCTGGCCAAAAAAGTTCTATTCTGAACTGACATGGTTATTCCACTTTGCTGAAGCTGAAAGGATGTTCCTATAATGCTTTGTCACCTCTAAGGATGGAAGAAATAATCTGATTGGCTTTAGGGCCCGGGTAGACCAAACACAGTGTTTTGTGACCAATTACATATTTCACATTCATCTGGGGGGACAACAGAAGCATCTGTGGAACCTGCCCATTAGTGCATGCATATGATGTTGCAATGGTTATACAAAAGTGGTAGAGTTTGTGTTGTGACATTGCAACACATTTTGTCATCCCCCCACCCCTGCCTCTCCTGTGGATGCCCATAACTGGTGATAGTTAGATACAGATAGACTTTCATAGACATACATTCACACAAACATCCAACTGTGTCAGTGAGGCACAATATTTTTTCAGGGAAGAATAATATCCAGGAAACTCAGTTTCCATGTTTTGTCTTACTGCTACTGCTGGGGTTTACATAGGAAAGAAAAAAAGGACAGTCCACATATTTTCAAAATAAATAAGCAAAACACTACCACAAGGAAAGTAGGACACAGCAACAATAACTGCATGGGCAAATCATTTGCACAACTCTGCAAATGATTGGGGTAACTGGTAAGTTGTGTTATGCGGTTCTAAATCTTGATTGAAAATGAAAGATCATGAGAATACGGTTCAGGGGGTCTCCAGAAGCAACTGTCCCATGTGTGTGTGCATGCCTCTGGGGCAGTAATATCTCTACTATATTATGTTTGGCTCACTTAAAAAGAAGTACTAACCGTCTGCCATTTTCCAGACCCCACAGCTCAGGAGGCTCACCCCATGAACTACACTTCACCCATGTAATTTGCAAAGCTTTGCAGAGTGATGCTTACTTACCTCCCTGAGAAGAGATGTCCATCAAGTCTCATATTCCTCAAAAGCCCCTGTGACCATCAAAGACTAGGCACTGCACTGGAGAGGAAGCAAGCAGAAGTTCACGCTGTGAAGAAGGAGATCACTCCTCTCTCAAAGCCATCATATCTTCTCGCTGAGCCCCATTCACTTGTAAGCATTTCCATTTCAAAACCATGACTCAAACTCTTCTTTGGATTGTGGAATTAGTCAGGCAGCAGTTGTGGGGTATGTAATATAGAAAGTTAATGGTGTACCAGATGTTCTTTCTATTAAACAAAATTGTGGTTAATAATCCAGAAAATGAACTTTTATGTTTCTCTATATCCATTAAAAGTAAATTGGTGGAAGTGACTATTGTTTTTCCCTTGCTTTATATGTCACTTTGAGAGCCTTTTTGACAGAAAATATGGCTGATAATATAAATAAAATATTAGCACAATCCTCGTGCTTGGTGATCCCTTTATGCCTTGAATAATTTAGGAAGTATAATCGTTTTCTTGTTTATTTAAAGAATTCATATGCCATTTCTGCATTTTTATAAATCCACCAAAAAACTATAAATAAAAGCAATGAAAGAGCCAAACAAAATCACACACACACACACACAGACGCCGAACCAGACCAAAGGCCTATCTATTCCAACAGTTTATTTTCTCTCAGTAACCAAATGATCCTTAATGCTACCAATACATGGATGAAAGTAGATAGATCCTTTTCATTAGGAAAAGTTACAGCAGTCGAACCAGTTCAGTCTGAGGAAAGTACTTGTGGGTACCACCCAGTGTCTGTATTCAGGACATCCTACAAATTCTCTGAACCTAAATCTGAAACCGGAGTGTAGCTCCCACCAAAAAAGATTGAATATCTCTGACAGGATCCATTTCTCTATCTGCAAATCCATCACATCACAAAGGAAGTTGGCTTAAGGGATCTTTTTTACCATCCTCGTTATGATATTTCACTTCAGGAGGAAGTTCCACATTCAGTTGGTTTTTTCTTTATGTGAAATCTGGTGTCAGCGTGAGGATATGAAGATTGGGTCCACCCTGAATAAAAGAGCATTGACAC